ACATGACTGAAACAATTTAGCAAGCACATGCAGTGAAGCAAAATTGTTCTAACTCTGACTTTTAAAAATACAGGGAGCATCTCATTCAGTGGATCTCAGGACTTCAGTGAAAATATGGGTTTTACAACCATAACAAGAATAGTTTTATTAGTTCTAATGCTAAATACATGTTTTCCAAATAGTTAAATGTCTTGAGGCCAGATCCAAGCTAGCATGAAATAAATACTCCTTAGATGTAGCTGTTGTACAAGGGTAATTTTGACACTGCTAGAGAACAAAATAGATTTTCTCAAAATAGATCTGTGATTTTCAGAAGAAAATCACAAACAAAAAAATCAATTTTGCAGAGATTTTTTAAATCAATCTATTAGAATCCATTTGCCTAGGTTTTCAGTTGCTTTATCTCCAAATAGTCTTATTTTCCAACATTTTCTGAACTTATGCTTTTAGAAAGAATTTATAATCCATCTGGGTGGCTTACGTGCTATACCAAATTATTGTTTTAAAATGTTTGAGAAAATATACAAGTTAAAAAATTCCACGTCATTTTAATCTAGATTAAAGCCACTTGTTGCTACTGCTTTTAGATCTAGAAGTGAAATTCTGAGCTTCAGTTCAAGCAGCTGGGATATCCTAGTCTCTTCAGAATCTGAAGTTCAAATTAAAGCATCAGTTTTTGTGCAAAACACATGTTGAAAGCTTTTGGAGTGATTGGTCATTTGGCCAACTGAGTGAGCATACAGACTTCTGAGCCCATGAGGAGGATCCCAGCAGCCTCCTTTGGCCAGGCTGCCTTTGGAACCTTGGAGAGGATGCTTGGTGGATTCCTGGGGCTGGTGGGATGGAGAACACCATTTGCAGACTCCCAAAATCTTTTCATTCTTCCCCACTTAAGTCATTCAATTGTTTGTTACATAACACAAGCTAAGAGAAAATGATATTACAAAATGTTGCAATTTATGATTACAAATCTGTTAAAATCTGTTACAAATTATAAACTTGGAATCTTCTGAACATAGCAATCTACTTATGTTTTTTCCTTATCTGATCCTATCTTAATTAGAATTGAAATTTTAAAGATAACAGATACTTGGCCGCACTTCATTAAAATGTACTGAGTAAAAATCTGCCATAGAAATTCCAATATGTCACACGCTGCATATTAAGTGCAATATGATATTTGCTATAAATTTAATAAAACAAATACATTATGACCAAAGAACATGCACAGCAATGCAGTTTAACTAATTGAAATAAGCCCATAAATGAACAAATTAATTGTTTAAAAGGAGGGTTACATTTTTCCATTAAAAAGTTACAGTTCTGTAAATTTTTTTCATTTTCCTAAAGAAAAAAATTTGAGTAGTTCAATTGTGGTCCATAGACCAGGAGCAGCAGCTGCCAGCTTATTAGAAACACTCTTTCCACCCCACCTTAGACCTTCTGAATCAAAATCTGCATTTTAAAAAGCAACCACTCCCAATACCCTGGAGATTAATGCACATATTAAAAGTTGAGAAGCACTGATTTGGAGTTTATTGAAAGTTGCCTTGAAAGCAATGCCAACTTTCTGTCTTTGACACTCAAGTAATGCTACCACTGTAAATGCTTAATAATAAATGACCATGAAGGAGAGTTTATTCNAGTGTGTTCTCTTGGCAAAGCTGTTAGCCTTTGCCTTGCTTCATTTTGTCCTCCAATGGGAGTGAATGAAGATCAACACTTTTCAAGCTTAAATAACCTCCTCTGTTTCTATATCACTACTTTTCCTCATATGCCTCCATTTTATATCTTTCTCCTTCTCAATGCAGGATTTATCCTTCTCTGAAACCATGATGATGCATGGAGTGCAGAAGTAATATTATTAAGAGAATATATTAATATCAAAAGATAATATAAAATATTATCTTTGTTACATATGTCTCCCTAAAGTATATATAGCATCAAATAGGAATTTTTTTAAAAGTCAAGAAAGCCATTAACAGGAATGCAGTCCTCCTTGCAAATATTTGAATTCCCGTCCTCCTAAAAAATTACATTTTTTAATAAATGTATCTTTAACATAGATTTCTACATTTCTGTGGAGGCATTTTGTTTCTTCTGTTACTATCATTTTCTTAAACGTCTTTTTCCTTGGATATAAACTAATGCAAAAATTTGTTGATTAAAGTCTATATATTTCTTGTTGTTTAAAAATTTTTGAAGCAAGCAATGTTGTGAATTTTTATCAATTTGTTGTGGAGGGATTATTGTTTAAATCGGCAGTCCACAGTAATAATCATTGATCCCACGGATTGTAGCCTGTCAGACTCCTCTATCCATGGGATCCTCCTGACAAAGAATACTGTACTGGGTAGCCATTTCCTTCTCCAAAGGATCTTCTCAACCCAGGGGTCAAGCCCAAGTCTCTCGCATTGCAGACAGATTCTTTATGACCTGAGTCACCAGGGAACCTCAATAATGAGCTATTACAATTAAAACATTCTTTCAATGCATAACTCTTAGTAGGATAATGCTGCTGCTGCTGCTGCTAAGTCACTTCAGTCCTGTCCGACTCTATGCGACCTTACAAACGGCAGCCTACCAGGCTCCTCCGTCCATGGGATTTTCCAGGCAAGAGTACCAAAGTGGGTTGCCATTGCCTTCTCCAAGTAGGATACTATTATCCTCTTTTCTGGGTAAAAAAATCTGGAGTGCAGTCAATGTTCAGAGAATTCCAAGGACATGTTGCTGCTATTGGGTGCAATAAAAATGCCAATCAAAGTCTTCTGGATCAAAATTTAGTGTTGTTTTTTTTTAATGTGTCTATTTGATTTCCCACGTCTGTGAATATACCAAAAGTTTACCTTCTGTCTAGATGATCCACCAAAAAGGAAAAAAAAAAGCATAGATAATGGTCACAGTTCCAAACAGCCCTTTGTCTCATTCTTGTCCTGCACTCACATTTCTTGCTCATGTAGAAATGTTTCCCTATGTCTCTGCCATGTGTTCCATTTATTTTCAATAGTGCAGCATCGCTCCAAGTCAGTTTAATGGTTACATAAAGCATTTCTTCTGTTCTCCTTGCACATGACTGTCTTACTTCACTGCTTAGCAAATGCCCTGACACCACTATTCTCACCAGCTGCCACAGCAAAGGAGGTGTCATACTTCAGTCTGGCTATTGTATCTGTCACAGGACATTTGAATTAAATGAATTATAAAGTGTTGAATGTGACAATGATAATAGGTAAAGGTTATTGATGAATAATTTAACAGTGCAGGAATTTAGTGTCTACTAAGATTCTTGTTTCCTCAATGATTTTATCCTGCCAAATGGTCTCTGAATTAACTGCAGCTCTCTTTCCATCAACTGGGCATATATGAGCTTATCACATTACATGAGGGACCAGTGTAAGCAAAGTGTAGAGAAGATTTATAGTTTTTAAATTTATTTTATGTAATTTATTTTAATTCCATTTTACAATATTTTATTTTATTGTTATTTTAGAGCAGATGATTTTTCATGACCAAAAAAAAAAAAAGAGAGAGAGAAATGTTTTATATTTCTTAACAGGCACATGATTGTATTCATTACACATTTTTACTTGCCTGATTTTGCTTTTACTATGAGACATGGATACTGAATTATATCAAATGCCTTTTCATCATCTGTAGATATCATCATATAGTTTCTCTCTGAGCTACTAATATTATAAATTTTAATAACAGCTTTTCTAACAAACCTTCTTTGTACTCATGAGATGAAGTCAACTCAACTGCAATGTACCAATATGCTAACACACTATTGCTAACATTCTATTGTTTATGTATGCCTACATGTGGACTCCTCTGGTGTCTTAGGTGGTAAAGAATCTGCCTGCAATGCAGGAGACCTGGATTCAATGCCTGAAAGGTGTGGAAGATCCCCTGGAGAACAGAGTGGCAACCTACTCCAGTATTCTTGCCTAGAGAATCCCCATAGACAGAGGAACCTAGCAGTCTATAGTTCACGGAGTTGTGAAGAGTCAGCCAGCCAGACACCACTAAGCAACTAGCACTATTACTCTGCCTGTATGTGCTGTGCTTAGAACCCCACTCTCCCGTGTTGCAGGCGGATTCTTCACCCTCTGAGTCACCAAGGAAGCCCAAGAATACTGCATTTGGTAGCCTATCCCTTTCTCCAGGGTATCCTCCTAGCCCAGGAATCTAACTGGGGTCTCCTGCATTGCAGGCAGATTCTTTACCAGCTGAGCTACCAGGGAAGCCCATGTAAGCCCATGTATGCCTATATAGTCATAACTAAAAACTGATATTTCTTGTTTATGCTGTTCTTGTGAAATCTTGTTATACAGGCATGACAAATACACAACCTATATTCATTTTCTATACTCCAAAAATATTAAATTGCATAGAAAGTACCTTTACTTAAAACAACATCTAGTCATATCACTGAGACTGTGAGTTTTTAATTTTTGCTTTTGTTCTTTTTTGGCTTCAAAAATACTTTTGAAGAGTTATTTTTACAACTCTTTTATTCATACAATAATTACTTTTTATTTGTATCATCTTGAATAATTTTAGTAGTATGTATTTTTAGAAAATGAACCAAAAACATCTAGATTATTCTCAGGTTATATGAAATATTCTCTCAAAAATTATAATTTATTTAGTTTTCTCTGTATCATTTAGTATATTCTCATTCCTAATAGTACTTTATCTTATTAAGATTATTATATAAGGATAGTTGTTTAATGAAAAAAATTCAAGGAGATACACATATTTATTAGTCCCAGTTATTATATAACCCAATTAAAATGCCTGCAGAATTATTCTAGGAATTCAACCTTCCTTACCAATATCCATTTCCTTGACTGATCCCTAACATGAGGTACTGGGAACTGATCAAACACTCAGTATATGAGTTCTACTTGTTCTTCCATGCACTCACACACATCTGCACACACATGCACACATCCACACACACACAAAGGCTTGCTTTCAAAAGAAGACGTCATTACCTTTTCTCTTCCTCTTTGAAAAGTTTAGGCAGTCTGACTTTTTTCTGCACGAATATTTTAGGATATTGCTTCATAAACACATTGTGCGCTGATAGAATATTGGTTCGGCTTAAAAGAGAGAGAGAGAAATTATTATAAGTGCCATAAGACTTCTGAAGGAAAGATTTTAAATTCAGTATATACAACTTAGTTCTATACTATTTAGTCTAAAAAAGCAAATGACAAAAATATGAAGCATAAACATTTTATGCTTCAAAAATGTCCACTATAAAAATTGTCTGTAGTGTGTTTCACTGAAAAATATTTTAAGAATACCAAATTTAAGGTAATGCTAATTGTCAAAAAATTAATTTTTTAGCTGAGCCTTCTTAAAATTTTTATTTCTGTAACTGATTAAAGTGGTTGCAAAATATACCATATAATTAAAATTCCCCCAAGATGATTCATATATAGTTTACATAAACTTTATTCAAAGTATAGTTATCTGAATCTTTGCAATTATTTATGAAAATTTGCAAAAATTTATGAAAATGTGCTATTGTTTTAGGATTGGAATAAAGATGCTTTAGAGAAATATTTCAGCATTTCTGAAATCCAGATCGCTGGACTCATCTGTGGTGTTTTTTAAAAAGTGTAGATTTCTGACTCTTTTCCTGATGAAGCAAGATCTCCAAAGGTGGAGTTAGGGTAGTCTTCTCTATTTTAAATATCAACCTCCAGGTGGTTCCTACTTGCAGTCAGGTTTCAATACAGTGAAAATATTAAAAAATGTGAGTAACAAGAGCTAATGAAATATAGCAAATTGTCAGTGTTAAGTAACGACATTTGTTTCTGAAAAGTCTGCTTCATTCAATTTTTAACTGACAACATCATGAAAATTTGGTCAGTTTTTTAGAATGTTGAGTGCTCATCTCGACAGCTAATATCAAAAATAATCATACTTAAAATTGAACATTGACAAACATCTTAGTCAATATTTGCCTCATGACAATGAATATAAAAGTCTTCAAGATTTTCTTGTTTCATTGTCAATGAAAATAACAGCCCCACACTTTAAAACATTTATAGCATCTTTTTTCTCTTGGCCTGAGTTCATAAAATACCATGTTAATTCTTCACACAAAACAGAGAGTATATACTTTAAGAATTCTATTTAATTTAATTTAACTTAATTGATTAAAATAATGCGATGTGTGATTTATGTGACATTAGAAATTTTCATTCCTACTCAGACACTGTAGCAATGCATTGACCAAAAATCTATTTTCACACAGGTAAAGAAAAGATACATGAGAAAACCTATAGCTTTAGAAGATCAATCAAGATTGTGGAGTAAGAGGCTATGCAGCTTACCTCCCCACTCAAACACACCAAAAAAAATATATTTATGAAACACATGAAAAGATACTCAACATCGCTCATTATTAGAGAAATGCAAATCAAAACCACAATGAGATATCATCTCACACCGGTCAGAATGGCCATCATCAAAAAGTCTACAAACAATAAATCCTGGAGAGAGTGTGGAAAGGGGAACAGTCTTGAATTGTTGGTGGGAATGTAAATTAATACAGCCATTATGGAAGACAGTATGGAGATTCCTTAAAAAACTAGGAATCAAACCACCATATGACCCAGCAATCCCACTCCTAGGCATACACCCTGAGGAAACCAGGGTTGAAAAAAACACATGTATCCCATTGTTCATTGCAGCACTCTTTACAATAGCTAGAACATGGAAGCAACCTAGATGCCCATCAACAGATGATTGGATAGAGGTTGTGGTACATATACACAATGAAATATTACTCAGTCATAAAAAGGAATGCATTGGAGTCTGTTCTGACGAGGTGGATGAATGTAGAACTTATTATACAGAGTGAAGTGAGTCAGATAGAGAAAGATAAATATCGTATTCTAACACACATATACAGAATCTAGAAAAGGGGTTCTGAAGAGTTTATTTACAGGGCAGCAATGGAGAAACACATAGAGAACAAACAGACTTATGGACATGGGAGAGGGGAGGAGAGGGTGAGATGTATGGAAAGAGTAACATGAAAACTTACATTACCATATGTAAAGTAGACAGCCAAAGGGAATTTGCTCTACGTCTCAGGAAACTCAAACAGCTAGGCTCCATATCAACCTAGAGGATGGGATAGGGAGGGAGATGGGAGGGGTGTTCAAACAGGAGGGGATATATGTATACCTATGGCTGATTCATGTTGAGGTTTGACAGAAAACAGCAAAATTCTGTAAAGCAATTATCCTTCAATTAAAAAATTAATTAAAAAAAAGAAACACACACACAAAACACATGTTTACAAAGAACAATCCTCACTGAACACTAACTAGAAACTGGCAGAAGGAATCCTGTTCAGTCAAGGCTGTAAGAAATATGCAGACATAATCAGGTGGAAAGGGAAGGAAAATGATTAGCTCAGACTGTGCCCCAGGAAAGGACTCAGACGAAAACGGAGACAAGGGAGACACCCGCTCTGGGTGTGGGTGTCTCAGCCCAGAGGTCGTACATGGGAAATAGGAGCCTCCTTGGCTCACTGGAGGACTGCTGAAACTAAAAGGTGGGCCACAGAAAACCTGGACTGCATTCATGCAGAAAAGCCAGTTGGCTAACTCTAACCCTAACCTAACCCTACGGTTATACCCTGGCATGCATCTCATTCCTAGTCAAGCAAACACGCATTCTTCCTCCCTCAATGGCAGAGAGTAGCACAGGATCTGAGGAGGCCGTGAGTAGGGAGAGATGTGACTGTGGGGGGCAGACGCCCATGGCGCCGGGAAGAGTCTGGGTGGGGTGGAAGTGACCCCTGTTTGCACTTACTAAAGCAGTGCATCAGAAGCAGCCCGGATCTCTGAGAGCAGCTCACGCCTTACCCACCAATGTGTACTGAGAGCTTACACGGGCTCTCCTCTACTTGTGGGGTAGCGCCATAACAGAATGGGCGTGGAGGCTGGGGCAGTGATTAGCTGTGAGGGACCAAGGGGCCTTGAACCGAGGCTGCATCTCAGTGCAGCAAGAGAAGCAGTCGCAGGTGTCCGCACGGCAGCACATCGGAGACAGCTTGTCGCTCTGCTCGAGGCCGGCACAAGCCCCCCTTGCTTCACCATGACCTCCTCTGGGACGAGAGGTCCAGTGAAAGGGAGAGGGCAAAACGACACACTTGACGGTGGTAACAGAGCCACCTGGGGCCTGAACCACAAGGCTCCTGCTCCAGCAACTTGAGGTCGGAGGGCACTCCCACTGGATGATGATGGTGACTGAGAAGCAGGGAAATCCCACCTCCTGACCCCCTGCACCTCGAGCGCCTTCACCCCCACCACATCCCCTACCAAAGTCAGAGCTGACAGAGCACCCTGAAGAAAACTGCAGCTTGCATCCACATAAATCCAACTCCTTTACCAAAGGTACTGGGTCCATGCAGTCTGTATAGGTGTGCCCCCATTGAATAGCAATCCTTCAAGACCACAAGAGGCAACTGTTTCCCATGAAATCATAGGGGCAGAGAAAGTTAAGAAAAATGAAAAGGCAGAGGAACTGACCTCATTTGAAATAACAAGAGAAAAGACTTGAAAAAAATAAATGAAACAGACATAAACAATTTACCAGAGAAGAATTCAAAGCATTGATAATAAAAATGGTAGCTTAATTAGGGGAAAAAATCAACATACTCCATCAGAAGCTTAATATGGAACTAGAAAATATAAAAAAAAGACCCAATTCACTAGCTGAAATAATACACTAGAAGGAATGAATAGCAGACTAAGTCACATAGAAGAACACATAAGTGATCTGTAAGATAGATCAATGGAAATCATACAATAAAAGTAGCAAAAAGAAAAATTATGAAAAAAAATGTAAGGTGTCCCTGTGACAACATTAAGCATACTGACATTTTCATAAGAGCAGTTCCAGAAGATGAGAGAGAGAGAAGGGGATCAATGAAGGATCTGAAAAAAGAGAAAAAAACAAATGGCTGAAATTTCTAAATCCTGAAGAAGGAAATAGATATCCAGATACCAGAAGCATAGAAGGTGATGAACCCAAGATGAACCCAAGCAGACCAACACCACGATACATCATAATTAAAGATCAGAAAGGAAATAAATAAAGTGGAGATCCCACTCTCAAAAAAAAAAAAAAAAATTAAAAGATCAATGAAACCAAGAGTTCTTTTTAAGATAAACAAAATTGTTAAGATTTAGCAAGGATCTTCAAGAATAAAACAGAAAGATCAAAATAAACAAGATAAGTAACAAAGAGGAGAAATCACAGCCAATGTAACACAGATATGAAAATCGTAACAGAATATTATGAACAGCTACATGCCAACAAATTGGACAATCTGGAAAAATTGGACAAATTTCTAGAAACATACAATCTTCTGAGACTAAATCAGGAAGAAATAAACAATCTGAACAGATCAATTATTAGCTGTGAAACTGAATCTGTAATCGAAAAAGTTCCAGAAAACAAAAATACAGAACTGAATGGCTTCACAGAAAAACTCTACCAAACATATAAAGAAAAGCTAATGCCTCTCCCTATCAAACTATTCCAAAAAAAAAAAAAAAAATGAAAGAGAAGGGAGCACTCCCCATTCTATGAGGCCACTATTACCCTGATACCAAAACTAGACAAAGATGCTCCCCCTTAAAATTATAGGCCATTATCGCCAATGAATATGGATACAAAAACCTTCAACAAAATATGAGCAAACTGAATCTAGCAATATTTTAAAAGGATCATACACCATGATCAAGTTGGACTTACTCCAGGGATGCAAAGTTAGTTCAATATTCACAAATTAATCAATGTGATAGAGCACACTGACAAAATGAAAAATAAAACTCACGTGACCATATCAAATGATGTGAAAAAGCATTCAACAAAATTCAATGTACATTCATGTGAAAGCTCTCATTTAAATAGATAAAGAGAGACCATATTTCAAAATAATAAAAACCATTCAAAAAAAAAAAAACTTACAGGTAACATTATACCCAAAGGTGAAAAGCTAAAACCCTCTCTGATAAAATCAGGAACAAGAAAAGGATGTCAACTATCATCACTTTTATTTGACATA